TCACCCAGCCTCTCGGGGTGCTTCACCCTCCCAGGCTAGGAAGCTGTCAAGAAGACTTTATTCCACAGGAAGCTCCCCCTCCTTAATTTACCTCTGCTCTGCCCACACCACACACTTCCTGCCTGACCCAGGCCTCTGCACCCACCCGGTGAGCGGGGTGCATCCTCGGAGCATGGCGTCAATCACAGAGGACCAGAGTCAAATTAAGGCTGCCTGTTCGGATGTTCTAGTCACGGGAATAGAAAACGCCTCTTTCCCTCCACTGGGCTAGTGTCCTCCCTGGTAGCCTTTCTTAGGACAGGCATTTCTCCAAAGGGTCCGTTCAGGGCTTCAAAAAACCCTGGTGCCAACCTTTGTTTCAGGCATGGCCAGTCGGCTGCTCGGGCCCTCCTTTGAGCCCTATCTGCTGCCCGAACTGACCAGATACGACTGCGAGGTGAACGTTCCGGTGCCCGGAAGCTCCACGCTCCTGCAAGGAGGGGACCTCCTCAGAGCCCTGGACCAGGCCACCTGAGCCAGGAGCCCGCTCCCACCCCATCCCCGGGCAGGCCCTGCCACGCCGCCTGGCAGCTTCACCCTCTCGAGTCTGTTTTTGCAGCTAGATTTTCCTAACACCAACACACTTTACAAGATGTACCTACCTGGCGAACTCGTCCAGGGCACACGGGCCGTGGCCTTTTCTGGAAGATGCTCACTTTGTCATCCATGTTTTAACACAATGATTGCCTTACCTGCTCCGCTGTGCCCTGTCTAGGAAAATGTCCTTCAGCTTTGTAAGATTGCTCTCTCCCCATCTGCAATGACTTCTAATTTATGTTATCTATACGTATTTCCCCCCTCCCCAACACCCAGCACCCCTCTCCCCACAGTAGCCGTACTAACAAGTTTGGGGTATGTTTATTTTCCCATTGGGAAACCTTTGGCTGCAGTCAACTCAAAACGTTGCTGTTGTTGTTGTTGTTGCCAAAGAGGAAAAGCAGAAAAGATTCTGCCTCCCAAGCTTGATTTGTGGCCTTTTCCTCCCGGAGCCCCCTACCCTTTTGTTTCTTTATGAAAACAAATCACTATCGTGTACATTACTTCTTCTTCTTTTTTTTTCTTCCCTGCCCCCGCCCCGAGCCAACTGTTGGCTCTCATTTTTGATACGGGCTTTTGAGGAGGGGGCTGGAAGGAAGGAAGAGACTGAAGGGTCAACTCCGAGGAATGTGGGAACCTTTGAAAGTCACACTTTGTAGCTTTTCCAAACCTGCTGGGTTTTTTTCCCCTCATTCAGCGGATTTTTTCCCTTTTGCTTTTTTTAGAGAGTCTGTATCTGGGTGAAGTGTTTATCGCACGTATGGGTACTTTGTCATATCGAAACACTTGGAAGTGGAATCTTGCTCAAAAAAACCACTTCCCCTCCTCTTGGAAGCTGACGACGTTGATGTGCTTGCGTCTGGGGTGGCGGATACCCCAGATTTGTGCAGACTCCCCTGACCCGTACTAACACTGCTCTAGGCCTCTGCTCTCTGCTGCCTGTCTGCTTTCTGGGACTTGGGCCGCAGCGTGAGAAGCAGTCCGAGCGTGGAGTCACCATCACGCGAGCACACTGCGCGCCCCTCTCCGTGTCCTTGTCTGTATTATGTATGTATGTATGTCCGTATCTATTATTGCTGCCCAGAGGGTCTGGCGGCACGTCACGGGTTACGGGGGTGGGCCGGGGGAGAACACTTCAAGGAGGTGCTTTGGCTTCTTTTAAAGGCTTTGTTGCTAGCCCTTCAAGTGCACTGAGCTATGTACGTGGCTCTTCGTGGTCGCTGCCCCCACGATCGTTCCTCACTTGGCCCATGGAGCTTTCCAGAACTACCATAAAATGGTTTGGATGAGAATTCATGGGGGGCGGGGGTGAGGCTTCAGAAATGTAAGCGCAATCAAGCCCACATCTTCCCACTGCCTTTGAGCAATCCGAGCTGAACTGTGAGGGGGCTGGGGGGTGGAGGCAGACAGGAACGGCAGCTTGTTGCTAGCGGCCCCCTCTGTCTCGGATCTCAGCCGACAGTGGCCGCCCTGCAAGTCCCCAGGGCAGCCACCCTGCTGGTGGTCGGCAGGCAATCCTCCAGAGATGCAGGGGGGCTGTGACTGTGCAGTTAGGAAGTACTGCAGATAGGGTATTCCCAAAGCACTTTGTAACTCACTGGGTAAGAGGGATGATGCCTTTCGCTGTTAAATACCAATCACACCGAGCTTTTCTGTCGTTGGTACAGGGAAGAGGATTCTAAACACACACACACACACACACACACACACACACAGCAGGGCAAGAATTTGGTGAACCCAGATGAATGTATTGCAAAAAAGAAAAAATACAACAACAAAAATCACCTAGTCACTGTGTTGCCTAAATCTTACTTAAGCACCACAGCTTTGCCAGACACACAGTGGCAGAACTTGAAGGGTTACGACGTGTAGTCGCTGGGTCTGGTTTCCTGTACCTGTTGCTTCAGCATGAAGGGCCTTTAACCCTTGCCATTTAAAACCCCAAGCTTCATATTAACCTTACCTATCAGCGTAATGACTTCATGAATATTATTATATTGTTGAATTCCTACTGACAATATTATAACTATATGGGAGCTTAACTTTATAAGGAAATGTATTTTGACACTGGTATCTTATTAAAGTATTCTGATCCTACCTCTGCGAGTGGCTCTTTCCTGCGGATTTGCCATGGGCTTACCCCTGCGTCAAGTGAAATCTTTATTACATGGTTGACAGAAAATACGTTGGCACTGATCTCCACAGGCA